CGTACGTGTGTGCCAGCCACCTCCCTCCTCCACCCCGTACCTTGACCAGGTTGTTGCAGAACCAGTAGACGCCCCCCATGTGCAGCAGGGTGTCGAAGATGTGGATGGAGCGGCTGTCGACCCAGCCCTTCTCCAGCACCTTGGTGAACACGCTTGTCAGCACCTCCTTGATGGGCTTCTTGGGGGGCAGCAGGTTCCAGTAGGGGATGGTGTCCATGCCCGTGGAGGGGAACTTGATCTGCGTGGCTGTCTGCTGTAGGACGTCCGCGCACATGTGCTCCAGGATGGAGCTCATGATCACCACGCTGCGGCAGAGAGAGACGGGTCACACAGGCCCTGGGAAGTAGAAGGGCAGGAGACGGCACAGCACGGGGCCTGGTGCACTGGAGCTCACCGTTCATTGTAGAACTGCAGCGTGTTCTCGCCGTACAGGGGGGTGGCCAGCTGCCGGATCATCTGCAGGGACTTCTCCCGCTCATCCAAGCCCAGCATGCGGACGTGGGCCACCAGCCAGGCCACCGCGCACACCGCCATGCTGCACACCTTCCCCTTGATGTTGTCTGTGATTTTCTAGGAGAGGAGGTGGGAGCGGAGGTGGATGAGCACAGACGTGTGGATGCACAGGCTTTATCTCAGCATCACCTCCCAGGGCCGTGGGCCCCCGATTGCAGGGTCCAAGCCCTTCTCTCCTCCATCGGGTGAACCTGCCCCTGCCAGCCCTACTGCCACCAGCGGGGCAGCATCACGGAGCCGGAGCCACATCAGTTCCCCACCCAAGTCGTGAAGGAGCCAGCGAGCTCCACAGCGGCTGCAGGAGCGTTCAGGGCAGGAGGACAGGAGACCCCTGCCCTGCCGAAGCCTTGGCCCCTCCTCAGGACACAGTGCAGTGCGGGTGCCCCAGCTCTGCCCGACACCACCCTCCCGCCAGGCCCACCTGGATCGACTCAAAGGTGAGGACGCTGTTCTCCCAGGCATTGAGGATCTCCAGGATGGCGGCTGAGATGCTCAGACATGCCTCGTGCCACTTCATCTGCCTGCCAGGGAAGAGAGAGGCGGGGGGTTCAGGCACTCGTTCAGAGCAGCCACGGGGCCAGGGAAGATGGGGTGGGTGCTCCCCTCCCGGTCTGCCCCGGCCCGGCAGGGTGGGCGCGCAGGCTGAGCTCTTACACCAGCTTCATCTCGGAGGAGTTGTTGAGGAGGGCGACCAGGGACTCCACCTTGGTGGAGTCGGGACGGAAGCAGGGGTGGTCGGGGTTGAGGATCTTCCCCTCCTCGGGCATGCAGGTCAGCATCCAGGTCTCGAAGAAGGGCACCTCGCCCGCCGGGCTCGACTCCGACAGGATCACCTGGGAGGGAACCCCCAGGCACAGGGTCTGCCACGCGGCCCGCACCCCACAGGGACCCTGCTGGGGACCCCCACCCTGGGGGGGGGACCCCCCACCCTGGGGAGCTCATGGCCGGGGGAACAGCGCCGCCCTGTGGCCTGCAGGGAGGCAC